TGCGTGTGTGTGTGCGCGCGTGTGTGTGTGTGCGTGTGTGCGTTTGCGAGCGTGTGTGCGTGTGTGCGTGTGTGTGTGTGCGTGCGTGTGTGCGTGTGTGCGTGTGTGTGTGTGTGTATGTGTGCGTATGTTTGTGTGTGCGCTGTGCGCTGTGCGTTTGTGCGCGTGTGTGTGTGTGTTTGTGTGTGTGCGTGCGCGCGTGTGTGCGCTGTGCGTGTGTTTGTGTGTGTGTTTGTGTGTGCGTGCGTGTGTGTGTGTGTGTTCGCAAATTCGCTCCGTGCCGCATCCCGGACGCTGCGTCCGCTCCCTGACCTTTGCCTTGGAGCCGCGAACCAAAAGTGTGTGTGTGTGTGGGTGTGTGTGCGTGTGCGCTGTGCGTGTGTGCGTGTGTGTGTGTGTGCGCGTGTGTGTGTGTGGGTGTGTGCCCGTGTGTGCCCGCGGCGGAGGTCGGCTGCGGGTGTCCCGCATGGGGGGGGGGAGCAGCGGGCGGCCCGGGTGCGGCCTGGTTCGGCGGTGGAGGCCGAGGGCTCGCGAAGCCCTCCTCGGAGGTTGGGGCGATGAGGGCCGGGGGCGGAAAAGAGGGGGGTGATGACTAGGGGGGGGTGGATATCATGGCGAGGGCCATGATATTTCTTGTTTCTTTTACGTCCCTGGTCCCCCCGCTGGGCCGCGCACATGCCGCCGGTCATGATTTGCACCCCCCCCCTCTTGGCCGCTCCCGATGAGGGCCGGGTGTGGCTCGCGCCGAGATCCTGCTACTGCTCGTCGTTCAGTACCTCTTCAGTGTGGCCTTCATGCACGGCGCCACGGCCTACTCCGTGGGCGGAGGCGATCAGGCCGTGAAGGAGCTCTGGCCCTGCAGCGTGGTGTCTGCGATGCGACATGTTCGGATGTTGCCGCACGCCTCCTCCTGCTGATCTGTTTCCTCCTCCTCCTCCTCCTCCTCCTCATCCGATTCCTCCTCGTTCACCCTCTTCCGCCCCGTGAGCCCGCAGATGGAGAGCATGTGGAAGATGTTGTTGGTGATGATAATGACGATTCTGATGGCGATGACGATGACGACCGAAATGACGACGTCGACGACGACGATGATGGACATGCCGCTGATGGCCAGATTACGGTGATATGGATGACTACCGTGGTAGTGATACAGACGGCAGGCGACGATGATGGTGGCGACTGGGATGATGATTATTCAGACGATGGTGCTGATCGTGCTGAGGATCAGGTCGATTCAAAGAATGATGATCCCTGTGAGGATGACGATGATGGGCATGGTCAGGCCTGACATGGGGATGGTGACGCTGCCGTTGATGCTGATGACGACTACGGCGGCGAGGAGAACGAGGAGGTGGAGGAGCGGGAGGAGGATGAGGAGGACACGACCACGACGAGGACGGCGAATGCGATGGTGGCAGCGACGGCGACAACGGCGACGACGGCGACGACGGCGTCAGCCGCGGCGTCGACAGCGATGGCAAAACGGCGACGACGGCGACGGCGACCGCGGGGCGCCGCTGGCGTTGGGCGTGCTGCCGGGGGCCTCTGGCGGTGGCGACAGACCTGGGCCGGCCCGAGGAGCAGCTGCAGGAGTGGTACGGCTCCCTGGCCCGTGCCTCAGCCGCCTGGCAGCATGTCTTCCCCGCGAGGACCATCGATAAGACGACGCGAAGATCGGGACAAAATCGGATCGGGACAACTCGAGGTCTCTGAGAGTCGGCGGGTTTGGAGGATGTATTGGGCGCCGCGGCCGCTCCAGAGCGTTCCGGAGCGCTCTGAGAGCGCTCTGGAAAGCTCTGGAGCGATCTATCCCGATCCCAGCCCTGTTTTCATCGAGGACCCTCCTGGACCCTCGAGCAGAGAAAAGACACGCACGAAGCCGAGCAGTGCACGGGGCAGGGACGTCCGAGCGGCGCCAGGGCCGCGCCCCCCTCCCCGAGGCCGGCGGGCCGTGCGCGCGGCCCTCGGCAGGATGCCGGAGGGCGCGCGCGCGCTCGGGCGGCGCGCTTTCTACCGCCCCTTTTCGGGGAAGCGTCAGACTCGAGTACCCCTCGGTCGTTGAAAGTAGGTATTTTTGGATTCCCAGATTACAGTCTACTTGCAGCGCCTTCCTACTTCAAGAGTCGAGTGGTTTTCCTTCTTCCTTCCCAGACTCGAGTACCCCTCGGTCGTTGAAAGTAGGTATTTTTGGATTCCCAGATTACAGTCTACTTGCAGCGCCTTCCTACTTCAAGAGTCGAGTGGTTTTCCTTCTTCCTTCCCAGACTCGAGTACCCCTCGGTCGTTGAAAGTAGGTATTTTTGGATTCCCAGATTACAGTCTACTTGCAGCGCCTTCCTACTTCAAGAGTCGAGTGGTTTTCCTTCTTCCTTCCCAGACTCGAGTACCCCTCGGTCGTTGAAAGTAGGTATTTTTGGATTCCCAGATTACAGTCTACTTGCAGCGCCTTCCTACTTCAAGAGTCGAGTGGTTTTCCTTCTTCCTTCCTCTTCAGGAGGCGGGCGGAGACCCAATCTAGTTCCAACGCCTTCCCACTTCATGTTTCTACCTACTTCTTCCGACCGATGGGTAAGCCGGAACTCGGGTTTGCCGACATTTTGTGACGAGCGCGTCCTGGATTTTGACGGTCCAGCTTTCGTGGGGTGTCTGCAGCGTGAGCTCGCGTCAAGTTTCAGATTGGGTCTCGTCGTTTTTACGGCGGCCCCGTCAGGCCAACCCGAGTCCCCCGTACCCGAGTCTTGCGTCTCCCCGACCCTTCGGGGCGCCGTGCTTGACCGGGGGTGGGGGGGGGGCCCGGGGGAGGATGGGTCTGCCGCAAGGCGGAGGCTGCCCTCGAGGGCGAAGGTTGTCCTCGTCCTCGAGGGCGCCGTCCTGGGCGAGCGCTCGACAGGGCAGGGGTGTCGTCGTCGTGGCCCTCGAGGTGGCGCCGTCGGGGCGAGTGCTCGAGGGCGGCGTCGTCGTCCTCGTTGTCCTCCTCCTCCCCCGTTCTCGCTTTCCGCTCCGCGCGATGGAGGATGCATTGGCCTCTGAAGATTGGATCGGCAGCCTCGATGAGGACCTCCGAGATCCGATAGGCCGCTCACGATTTTGAACGGCTCAGGTCCCTAGCTAGCCGCTTCCGCTCAAGCGTTGGCTCAGCACGTCCAACAAGGGGAGGGACTCTGAGGGTGTTCCACCCTAAGGGATCGATGGGACTGTTCCCTCATGTCGCGACGTCTTCCGTCGGCGCGTCAGAACAGAGCGCTGTCTTCGTCAGTGCGCTGTTGAGCTTGGCGGTTTGTGCAGCATTCGTGGCCCACACGCTCGCGTGCAAGGGCCAGTTCTTGCAGTTCTGGGAGACCTTCATTTTCGGAGTCCAAGTGTCAGATCCTGACATTCGAAAAGAGATGACGAATAAGCTCAGAGCTGAAAGCCAGGACAACGCCCGCCGCATAATGTTCGTCGTCATCGTGTGGTGCTGCGTGAACCTGAGCTTTATGGTTATTCACATCGTTGCCAACGTCCCTCGGTGGATGACCTTCTGGCAGGACGTTGTGTGTATACTCATAGGCTTTTCTGGCGTATGCTGCCAGTTGGCACTGAGGCACAGGCAGGAGCAGGCGACAGTCTCTGCAGTGTACTTGGTCTTCATGGTTGGGCAGACGGTCTTTGTGAGTGCTGGCCCCGCTGAGCAGGTACTCGGGGAACAAACCATGGCATGAGCATCAGCTTTCGATGGTCCGCGCAGATTTCTCCGATCAGCGGTGGAGCTCCCTGGCGGCTCCTCTGGTGCCGCCCATGTCGCGCTCCGCGCGCCGGGGAGGTCCAGCGCCGATCCAAGAAATCCACGCGGACCTCCCAGCAGTTTGTGCTTACGATCTGTTGTCCCCCTAGGTGCCTTACATTGCCATAGCAGGCCTCTGCATGCTGAGCCGGGCGCTGTTCAGCGTGGCGTGCATGAGGGTTCCTGTGGTTTTGGGCCTGACGTCGATCCACTTCCTCTGCGCCACCGCCGGCTTCGCGCGGACGGAGGCATGTTGCCCCGACGGCAACAGCTTCTGCCAGCGGCAGAACATGCAGCTCTTCATCGTCGCCGAGCTCGTCGGGGACGTCGCCATCATCGTGTGCTCTGTCGCGTGGTGTCACAACTGCAGGCTGCGTATCCTCAACGAGATCCAGGCGTCCATCGCGCAGAGCGACAGCAGCGCCTCGAGGAGCCTCCTCAACATTGTCTGTGACGCCACCGTGGAGCTGGACGAGCGGCTGCGGATCGTGGACGAGACCCCCCGTTTCGCGAGCCTCCTGCAGCACGGCACCGATCGTTCCCTGAGAGGTTCGAGCATGGTTCACCTAGTGGTCGAGGAGGACCGCAAGTTGTTCACCGACCGCATCTCCTCCGCCAGCGACGACTGCACGGCGAACGTGTTCCACACGCGAATCCGCGACGGCATCAGCAACGTCCTCAACATGGAGGTCTTTCACGTCCGGGCCTCTGGCTACCTGAAGCCCGACTCACACCTGGTCGGAGTGCGCGAGTACGCCGACGCCACGGAGCACGTGGCCACGCTGTCGCCGACGGAGCCGGCGCTGAAGGGCTGCGGAGCGCGTGGACGGAGCACGCGGACACCCGGCAAGCGGCCGAGTTCCCAGAGCTGGAGGGCGTGCCCGGCGGAGGCGGAGCCGCGAGGTCCGCCGCGAGGCGCGTGGTCTTTGTCCTCCTCGCCGTCCTCTGCCCGCAGCCTCTCCAGCGTGGACGGCGAGACCCTCGCCGTAATCGACATCCTCTCCGAGAGCTGGACGATCGTGAGCTCCACCGCGGGCTTCGAGCTGTTCTGGGGCAACGCGCCGCGGTCCGGCCGCGCCTGCCAGCTGCTGGAGTGGGTGGAGCCGGGCCAGAGGTCGGGCGACGAGATCTATACATCTCCACTGCTCCCTGGCCAGGCCCATCCTGAACCCAGGAGCTGTGTATATGCCCTCCTGGCCAAGCCAGGAGGGCGTGGCGTACGCACCGCTGCTGGGTTCAGGATGGACCTGGCCAGGGAGCAGTGGATGTGTGTAGATCTCGTCGCCCTAAGAGGGAATCCCTGGTCGTCTGGGTCCAGACCTTGTGCCAGGAGATGTGGGCCGAGCCCGCCGCCACGGGCCCCGCCCGCGCGCGGAGCCTCGAGCGCCAGGTGTGCCTGCGGCCCCCGTCGCTCTGGCACATCCGGCCGAAGGCGGCGTACGTGGCCAGCGTCGCCCTGGCTCTCCACGAGGATAGGGCGACGAGATCCATTCATGTCCACTGCCCCGCCCTGAGATCCTGGCGTTGCAGTTTGTTCACACCGGGCGTTTTCGCTCAATTTCGGGCTCCGGGAGCCTCACGCATCGATCCGGCTCCAAGCATGACGCGTAAAGACTGTTTTTTTGCGTGTTTTCTTTTGCAACGTCGGATCTCAGGGCAGGCCTGGCCCATCCTGGGCCAATGATTAAAGTTGGACCGGTCCCTCTACAGGAGGAAAATTCAGAAATAGTCAAAAATAGTATGTGGACCATTTATTGCGCATTTCTGGAATATGTTTGAACATTTCTGGGGTATTCTTAATTTTTCATCCCGAATCCCCCTGTAGGGGGACATGCCCAACCTAACCCTAGACAGGGGCGCGAGGTGCAGCAGCCGTGCACGCTGGTGCGGCTGAACTTCTCGGGCATCCAGATGGTGCACCAGAGCGGCGCCTGGCGCGAGGCTGTTCGCATATGATTCTCGCCGCCGCCTCTCGCCGTTCCCTGGTGCCAGATGTCTCCCCCTGACTTTTCCTCCTGTCCTCTCCCGGAGAGCTTTGGAGGGACTGGCCACTGCCCCGGCGACCCCACTCGGTGACTGTGTCTGTGTGCTTCCCTTCCTTTCCCTTTGCCCAAGGACGCTCCCAGGGCCTCCTACCTTTGCGAGGCCATGGGCGTCTCCGGAACCCCGCGAGCGCCTGTGCCACGCGCCCAGCGACCGTTGAGTCTGACCATCATGCTCACATGCGCCCTCACCTCCTCCATTCGCAGACTTCTCAAGTCCTCCACCTGACTGGCTGACTCATGGCACGCTAAGGTTCATCCTGCAGCCAGCCATCCTGCCATCCTCCACCTCCGCCACCTCCTCCTCCTCCTCCTCTCGGCGGCGAGCCCAGGGGGGAAGTGAGCAGGGGCCTTCTCAGCTCCCCCGGGCCCTCCGATGAAGTCTCCCGAGCACCCCCTGGAGACGCAGCAGACCTCTCCGAGGGCGCGAGGGCCTCTGGGAAGCCCGCGCCGCCCTCTGAGAGGGCCTTCTCCTCCTCGCCCCCCCCCGCCGCTCGCCGCCGAGCCCTGGCCCGCCTCGCTGCGCGAGGAGTGCCCCCCGGCCCGTGCGGGCGCGGCCCCGCGCCGCCGCGGCAGGGAGCCCGCGGCCCGGCCGGCCCCCGGGGAGGAGGGGGAGGAGGAGGAGGAGGAGGAGGAGGAGGAGGAGGAGGAGGAGGAGGAGGAGGGGGAGGAGGGGAGGAGGAGGAGGAGGAGGGGGAGGAGAAGGAAGAGGAGGAGGAGGAGGAGGAGGAGGAGGAGGAGGAGGAGGAGGAGGAGGAGGAGGAGGAGGGGGAGGGGGAGGAGGAGGAGGGGGAGGAGGAGGAGGGCCGCGGCCCGCACGGGCTGAGCGAGCCTCGGCCCCGCGCACTCGCCGCCGAGAGCCTCCTCGCCCAGCAACAGGGAAGGAACACGCAGTCCCTGCCTCGGTGCGCCGGCCCCCTTTCCTGCGGAGCTGGTGCTTTTTTCTGGACTGCGGAGCCCTGCGAGCTTCGCAGCCTCTGCGAGCGCTCCTCGGCAATTTTTTTCCAGGCGCCCCTCGGGCGCTTTCGAGGCGCGCCGTGGCAGCTTCCGAGGCGTTGCTTTCCAGGCGCTCCTTGGCAGCTTTTCAAGCGCTCGGTGGCAGCTTGTACGGCGCTGCTGTTCAGGCGCTTGGCAGCTGTTCAGGCGCTCCTGATGATGAGGATGACGACGACGACGAGGATGACGATGATGATGCTGATGATGATGCTGATGATGATGATGCTGATGGTGTTAAATGATGCTGCTGCTGATGTTGATGATGCTGCTGATGATGACGATGATGATAATTACTGATGCTGACGATGATGCGGATGATGATGTTGTTGATGATGATGATGTTGATGATGATGCTGATGCTGATGCTGCTGATGATGATGATGCTGATGATGACGATGGCGATGGCGATGATGATGGTGATGATGATGCTGCTGATAATGATGAGGATGTTAATGCTGCTGCTGCTGCTGATGATGATAATGATTATGATGATACGGAGGAGGAGGAGGAGAAGGCGGGTCGAGGAGGAGCTTCTTGCGAGAGCCACAACTATTAAAGACGCCGACGGCGAATCACCGCCGCCCCCTGCCTTTTGGAATTGCCCATGTGGCCGAGCGTTGTGGCATGAGCTCTGCCAAGCTATCGAACCATGTGTTTTCCCAGCCGTTGTGGAAACCGAGGATGACGGGGACGATCATGAGGAGGAGGAGGAGGAGGAGGATGCGGAATAGTGATAATAATTAACACGAAGAAGAGTATTGATCATACTAATAAGAACACCACGAATTATAACAAGAATAGGATTACTAGGAATACGAATAATCATACTCCTAAACGTAATACGAAAGGGGCATCATACGTATAATAATAGTAATACGAATACTAAGACGAATGCGACTGTTCTAATTCTACTAAGCATAAGAGGAAGACGAGGAGGAAACTAAACAAAGGAGGAGGATGAGGAAAAGGAGGAGGAGGAGGAGGAGGGAGGATGAGGAGGAAGAAAAGGAGAAGAATGAGGAAGAGGGGGCATCCTGGGAGCCTCTGGGGGTACTCGGGGGGCCTCTTGGGAGCTTTCTTGGAGCCTCTTGGAGGTATCTTGGGGGCCTCCTTGGGCATCTTCGGAACTTTTCGGGGTTTCTCGGGGGCTTGGCCGAAATGAAGCAAATGCCAAAGTCCTTCAACTACCAAGGAACATCAATGGCTTCGGCCTCTTCGGGCCTTTCTGGAGGCCCTCTTGGAGGCCTCTTGGGCCGCCTTGGAGGCCTCTTGGGGGCCTCGTGTGCCGTCTTGGGCCATGTTGGAGCCATTTTGGGCCGTCTTGGTGGCCTCCTGGCCCGTCTGGCGCCGTCGGAAGCCGTCTTGGGGGCCTCTCTGGGACCGTTTGGGGGGCCTCTTGGGGCACTCTTGGCTTGTTTTGGTGGTTCCTGTTTGCAGCCCCGGGACCCCGAAGGGGGGGGATCCCGAGGACCCCCTCTCCCTACCTCGAACGGGGGATGGACCAAAGGGAAGGGGCTTCCCTTCGGTTCGATGGCGGCATGGCGAGGTTCTTCTCTCCCTGACAGGCTCGAGGAGGGTGCAGGGAAAGGTCGGCGTCCCCCCAACATACTTATACGCGTCGCCCCCCCAAGGGGCGACGCGCGCACCGAGAAATCTTATAGTACATGCGTCGTGGCGGGCGCTTTCTGGCCACACCGCGGGGGAAACGATATACTACATGATGGGTATACCACGTGTTCGGTTCGGACGCGCGCCTCCAAGGATGACGTATAGCACTGGTATGTCCTTGTGCGTCCCCAAGAGGCGTCGACGCAGACGACGACCGACGGAGACGACGACGCGGACAGACGCACCCCTCGCACGCGCCGACGGGGTCGGCGGACCCAGGCCCCCGACGTCGTGATTTTTCCCCAGCGTCGACCCCCCTCCTCCTCCTCCTCCTCCTCCTCCTCCTCCTCCTCCTCCTCCTCCTCCTCCTCCTGCTGCTCCTCTTCCTTCTCCTCCTCCTCCTGCTCCTCTTCCTTCTCCTCCTCATCATCATCGTCATCGTCATCCTCCTCCTCCTTCTCCTCATCATCATCATCATCATCATCATCATCATCATCATCATCATCATCAAAATCATCATCATCATCATCAGCATCAGCATCAGCATCAGCATCGTCATCATCATCATCATCATCAGCATCAGCATCAGCATCAGCATCGCCATCATCATCATCATCATCATCATCATCATCATCATCATCATCATCATCACCACCATCATCATCATCAGCATCATCATCATCAGCATCATCATCACAACGTCGACCCCCCAGAGGTCTGGACCCATTCCCTGGGGCCAGTTTTTCGTCCCGAATCGTTTTCGGACGGCCCCGAAGCCCGGTCAGGGCCCCCAGAGCTAGAATATCAGCGGAACACCTCCCCTCATGTTTTTTGCGGCGGCACGGGAGCGCGCGGCCCGTGCGCGGGCCTGTGAGGCTCGCGGCTGCACAGGAGCAGGCACCACCTCCGCCTCCTCCTCCTCCTCACCCGCCCTCCGTCATCCTCCGTACCCGCCCTCCTCCTACCTCTCCTCCTCCTCCTCCTCCTCCTCCTCCTCCTCCTCCTCCTCCTCCTCCTCCTCCTCCTCCTCCTCCTCCCCAACCCGCCCCCAGTCGTCTCGACCACCCCTCCTGCTTGCACTCCGCCGAGGCCGGGTGGCCTTTTGGGCTCTTCCCGCCGCCGAGGGCCCCGGCCCCCGTGCGTCTGGACTTTTTGTTGCACTCTCGTGCAAGCGGCGCCCTCGAGTGCGCGGAGTTCTCCGCGCTTCGCCGTGCGACGCCGGTTCCTCCTCGTCCTTCTCTGATGTCGGGCCTGTCCCCCTACAGGGGGATTTTCGACGAAAAACAAAACATACTCCCAAAATATGCCAAAAAAGTCAAACAAATACTAGAAAAATAGTTCCGTGCGGCGCGAGAGCGCGAACTTAGGCGCCCCTGTTTTGCCGGCGACGCATTGGCCTTTCCTGGGCGCTTTGTGGAAGCGGTCACTGCCACAGCGAACCCAATCGGTGCTGGTACCACTAGGGGGCCACATGCGAACCCTACCCCTACCCCTCAGGAGTCGTGGGGGGTAGGGGTAGGGTTCGCATATAAGCCCCTAGTTGGTACCACAGCCCCCCGCAGTCGCGGATGAGTGCGAGGGGCTGGGGGGGAGGATCGTCGGCTGTCTGCGAGGCTCGACAGCAGACCTGGTGAAGCCCGCCGCAGGCGCCGACATAGCACAACGAGCCCGTCACAGGCGCCGATGTTAATCAACGAAATGTGCTGGGGCCGCGGGTGGGTCGTGGGGTGAGTTGGGTCTCGGGTGGGTCGCGTGTGAGTCGCGGGGTGAGTGGCGGGTTGGTCGCGGGTGGGTCGTTGGGTGGACGACAACAAGAAAAGAACAGCAATAATCCGCGTCACAGAATCACACTTCAGCCACGCACCTGGGGACGATGTAAGACCGCCCGCCCCCCGCACTCTGATCTGTGCGTCCCACGTCTCTTTAAGACGTAATACTCCCCAGAGCAATTGGCTCTTAGTGCTGATTTGTTTCGAGTGTGCGTAGCCTTCGCAGCTGCCGTCCCGAGAGCTTGCAGTGCGGGGCCGCAGCGCAGAAGCCAGGACTCTGCCTGGATAAGTTGGGCACGGGGTGGCGGAGCCGTTGCTAGTAGGGCTTGGCGGGCTAAGGTCGTGGTGGTCAGGGCTCATTTCGATTCCTCCGATGCGATTCGATTTGATTTCGATGGCCTCCGATTCCGATTCGATTCGGCTTCGGACTCCGGTTTCTCAACGGGGGCCTACTAGCCTGCCGAGTTCTGCCGAGCCGACGCCGATCCGATTCGTTCCGATCGCCGATCCGACCTGTCGATTCGATGCTGGGCTCCTGGGTGACTCCAGATTTCGTAATAAAGGGAGGGGGGTTTCATTTCGGGGGGGGGGCTCTCTTCCGAGCTATCTTGGAGGGCCTGGGGGGGTCTGGGGACGATGTTTTGGAGGGTTCTCCCACGGGGGGGGGTTCTGAAATGGCTTGTCTTGGAGGGTCCAGACCCCCTCCCTTTTATTACGAAATCTGGAGTAGGTGTTGCCCGAGGTGTCTCCTGGCCCGTGGCGAGCGACGGGGGCAAGCGGGGTCGGCGGCGCCGACCTTCGCGCGCGTGGGCTGCCCCGCCCAAGGTCGCGCGTGTGCAAGCGCCCTCGTCTCCCTGCGTACGTAAGTCACCGCGTGAGGTCGCTATTAGGGCTGGACCTAAACGGTGTTTTTGGTGATTTCGTGGGCCGTTTTCGTTTCGACTTCGTTTTGCGGAGCAGGCGGATTCGAGACAGGCGAGGGCAAACGAGGACAAAATGCGAAAACGAAAGCATCGTTTAGGTTCAGCCCTGGTCGCTATGACATCTCGCACAAGCCTCGTTTCCTTTCGCCGCTCGGGTGCTCCAAGCTCGCCCTGGGAGGCTGCCGAGGCCTCCCGAGCACCCCTCGCGAGGCCCCGAGGGCCCAGAGGCCCCAGAGCGGCGCGAACCGCTGGGCGCACCTCGGGCCAGGATCACGTCTGGCAACACCCATGGGCAGGGCCACGTGCGCTCCA